TAACATTTTAAAAGTTTTTCAAACTTTTGTACATTTTTGATCTTTTGAAAAATGTTATTTCAGGCACCGAATATTTGAAAGACATATTTCCCATGCAATGGATTATGGTTCAACAAAATCTCCATCATGTAAAATATATAAAGATTTTTAAAAAACCTGCCCAGAATGAGGGAAAAGACAAACAATATTGATCAGTTATTTTTTTTTCAATTATGGCAGAGAGGAGTATATGGCAAGTACTGATTTTCATAAAAAGGTATTAGATACTGAGATCTAAAACAAGATTGCTTTTAAAGGGTAGATTAAAAAGTTTTTTGTGAGCTAATAGTGGTTTACCTTGGTGGTCATGTACCTTGTTTCCAGTTCAAGCAACCAGGTGCCCACTATCAAGTAAGGTTCATAGCTGATTGTATATACTAGCTTACTAAGCAGTTGACTTCAAAGTTATATAAAAGTGAGAAAGATATGCTTCAACTGTTAACTGACTTTATTGTCATATTTTATGGAGCATACCTTTTTAAATCACCTGTTGCAGCCCAGGCTCCTTCACATGATTTGGATGCTTTTAAGTTAGCTTATGAAATGATAAACAACAAGCTAAATATATTTAATAATGTTCCCAGTGAAAGCAGCTCCATACAGACCATGGTCCACCATAGTTAGTACCTAACCCCACAGCTAGTTATTCTTTCAATAGCAAATGGACATTCAGAACTGAAGGAAAGAACTAGACTAGCTCAGAAGCTGCTAGGTTTTGATTGTCCACAACTTGATAATTTTGTCATGGAACAAACCTAACCTCTAACTTGTGTGGTACCAATGTCAGTTTTGTCTGACTTTATCATCAAGAAATCTTGGCTGTTCTTCACATACCTAAATATTAGATATAACTCATGGAAAATCAACACAAAAATAAATGATACATACAGACAATTTCAACATAGTTCAAAGTAGTAAATACAGACTATCATATAGCCTAATGCTACAACTATTTTATAGTCTGCTGCTACAAGGAAGTGCTGCTACATCAACTAAAGATTTAGCTCAGGCAAGCTGTCCATAAGTTAATAAAAAAAATTTTATAAAGTTTTTAAACTTTATACAGTTTTTAAAATGAATTTTTTTAAAAAAGCAAACATAAAATGGACATTTTGTATGTATGTCAGGCTTTCCCAGGAAAGGCGTGCGGTCACACGCCTTGTTTGTCCACGCATAGAATAAATTTTTCTGACTAACTGACCACGTTTTATTATTATGCGTTTCAAGAATTCGCGCCAAAACAAAGCTAAACGAAAATACCGCAAAAATGCAAGCAATCTTAAAGTGAATAACAAAAATCTGTTTGTGCTTTAAAATTAAAAAATTAAAGTATATTATTAAAAAAAAAATTTACCTTTATTTTATATTTTTATTTTTTTAGGGTGGTAGTTATTTAAGCTATGAAAAATCAAATCAATAAGAAAAATCAAATCAAAAAGAAAAAGATTAATGTTTAAAGAAAATAAAAGGACCTTTTAATGTAAAATTTGTTTATGACTTTTATCAGTCAGTAATGCTTTAAAATTCACGCTAGAGCTATAAACAATTTTTAAATGTTTCGTAAATACATTTAAATGTTTAAGTGAATTGATTTTAATGTTTGAATGTATTGATGCGCAAGAAAACACGAAAACGATTGCTATTTATTAGTAAAATATGTTGTTTTTTTTTTTAAATGAAAGAAAATTTTATTTTCAAAAGATTGAGTTGCTTATTTTGCAATCATTAATTGACATTGTGAACGAGTGTTAGTATATAATAATGTCCCGAAGGAACTGTTTTCGTAACAATGACAACAGAAGCAATGCAATTATTTTTTTAACTTCTTTCGTAATTACAAAATTATGCAATTGAATAATTTCAACGTAATAAAAGGCGAGCATTGACTCAGTATAATCAGTTTTAAATAAGTCGAGAAAGAACTTTTTTCACATTAAAGTTTTGTTATGTTTAAAATCTCAAATAATATATTTAATAATTAAAACAGCAATTTATTTTCTTGTCTAAGTATTGGGGAAAAAAGTCATTGCCTTTGCATAACCTTTACATAACCTTCGTAAAAACTAAATTAAATGAAAAAGTTTAACCAAATTTGTTTAGCGTAAATAATGAATCAGTTTTTTAATACATAGTCTGATAAAGTTCGTGAATAAATTACGTATCAAGTCTTTTTGTTTTCGTGAAAACTTTATGACTTATCGTCGTCTTTCCCTTGACTTGTATCAAATTTCGTAGCTGAAAATAGCAACCTTAATAAAAGAAAACAAAAACAGTATAAAAATTTTGAAAAAAATGTTCAAGACTTTTTTTTTTTTTGTTACAAGAATTTTTTTTTTTTGATTTTTTTTTATTATCAAAATATTTTTCTTACATCCAATTTCAATTTTATACTTTGTTTAGACTTCGTTTCATTTTTTTAATATTATTTTTTATTTTCTGTGGATAATTTCCGCTTTCTTACGAAATAATGCCGCGGTCACGTTTTCTGAAAAATTTATTCTATGCGTGGACGAACAAAGCGTGCGACCGCACGCCTTTCCTGGGAAAGCCTGGTATGTATATAACAACCATCATAAAATACTGTGTAATAATATTTCTAATAATTATGCAAAAGCCCCTAAAAGCTTGTAAAATTCAAATGATTTGCCAAAAAATTGCTAAAACAATTAATTTAGAAACTAGAATTGAATTGAAATTGCACTAGCGCAAGCATTTATTACATTAAAAGATCATAAACAAAATTTTCATAATAAACTTTCTTGTAGGCTATTAGTTCTTTCAAAAAGTGAACTTAAGCACATTAGTAAAACTAAGTTGGACAAAATAAATAATACTATTATTTTAAAAAGTTAAATTTGCAGCAGTGGAAAAATAACACTAATGTCAAAAATTGGTTTTCTAAAATTTGTAACAAAAATGAATACACATTTATACTATTTGATATTAATGATTTTTAACTCTCACTTACAGCAGAAATTTTATATAAAACAATAGAATTTGGAAAAATCTACACCAAAATTACAGATACTACTACTTGTCTAATTAAACATTGCAGAAAAACTTTACTAACAAACCACGCACGAATGCTTTGATGTAACAATGGGAAGTTACAGAAGTTTGCAAGTTTGCTAGCCCTTACCCTAATTATGACCTTAACCCTGAAGAACAGAAGTTTGCGAATTTGTAGGCTTGTATTTTTTAAATTCCCTAGCTAAACTAGTTCAACTTAATCAATTAGGTTTGTATCGCAATGATTGTTTAATAATAATGCAAAAATAATCAGGCCTCAACTTGATAAAATCAAAAAAAATATATCAAAAGTTTTTAAAAACATTGGTTTCCATATTGAATTAAATATTATTTTAAAAATTGTGAATTAAAACTCTTAGAAAACTCTTATAGACCTCATAAAAAAACCTGAAAATGAATTATTGAATATCAATACAAATTCAAATCACACCCATCAAATCTTAAAACAAATTCCTATTTCAATTAACAATAGTCTAATCAAAACTCTTTTATTAAAAATATTTTTAAATCTTCTAAACGTGTGTATGATTTAAAAAATTTTGAGCTAGAATTTGAAACAAAAATTGCAAAAAAGTGAAACAGAAATAGAAACAGAAATTTAGTTCAAACCTCCGTACAGCAAAAATGTTTCACCAAATATTGGAAAAGCATTTTTTAAATAAATAGGCAAATCTCCCTCTAATAAATAGCGCAAAATCGCAGCAGGGGATGCACCAGTGCTGCGTCTGGACTGGGGTGTGTGGTGATCCTCTTTTAGAGGATAAGAAAATAAAAGAGTTTTTTTTATTCCCTTGTTTTTAATGAGTTGAATGGTTTAAAAAAAAACTTTATTTAATATTCTATGATAATTTATTTAATAGAGTTTTAAAACTTTATTTAAAAGCGTTTAGCGTAGTGTAGAAACATTTTATTAGAAAGTTTACAAAGCATTATAAAAAATAACTTTGTAATGTTTTCGACTATTAAATTTATGCAGGGCACCAGGGCACACTTTTGGTTTTTGCTTCGTAACCATTTTTTTATTAGGTCTTTTTTTTAGGAGAATAGTTTAATTTGTAGAATAAATTTATACCTACAAAATTAAATTTATAAATTGCTAAACTATAACAAGATAAACTTATAAGACTATTTAAAGTAAATTTGGAACTTTGTCTTAAGGTACCACACCTATGGGGTACCTTAATACACACTATGAGCATCATTAAAAATGTAAATAAAAAGTATAAAACGTAGAGAAAAGATTTTTGCTGAACCAAGTTACCCCATACAGGTTAATAGAAAACAACCGCTTTATTTTTAGTATCACCTTGTTTTTTCAATGACTTTGTTAAATGTAGTAAAGCGCCCATGGATTGTAGTTTCAAAATAATGTTATTTACCGATAGACACATTGAAAAAGATACTTTAAAACTTATAAACTTTAAAAAATAATAAATTACTTTGTCATTAAAAAAACAAAAACAAATTTTAAATTAAAATTTTTGTACATATTTACTTAATTGAAGATGCTTGCAAAGAGAATACATGTCAAATATATCATAAGCCGCAATTAATTAAAGCAGAAATGTGTGGGGTAATGTGGTTACTTAACAGATGTGTGTGGGGTAATGTGGGTACTTATCAGAAGTGTGTGGGGTAATGTGGGTACTTAACAGTTAATACTTAACAGTTTTACATTCATCTCATGCCATGTGAATCCAACCTATAGATTAACATAGCTGGGGATCTACAATCCTTGTCCCTTAGCTCCACAACTCTGCCCTCAGTCTCTGCACCTATTAACATATCTGCACTATTTTAGCAACATTACCCATCCTATTTTTACGCCTTTTACAACTATGACAAAAAATATTATTCATATTACAAATAAACCCTTCATACCTCTGGAGCTTTTAGGGGTAAATCTAATTAAAAAACAATACTTAACATACCATGTGTTGATTGATCCACATTGTAATTAGTATCATCTTTAAGCCTTTTAAGCAGAGTTGTCTTTCCCTGCTGTGGAAATCCAATAATCATTAGTTTCATTTTGTAATAGGCTTTTGAGTGTCTTAATTTTCCTTTTAAATAATTCAGAATTTCTTGAGGTTTTTTGTATTCAGGTGGAGGATCTTTAAT